TATTATTTTGATGATCTCTGCTTTAAACAATGCGAAGTTTGCTTAAAAATAATTATACGGTATAAATTGTGAACGTTTCACTAACGATGATGCCATAAACAATAAATTTATTCAAGAAACCATTTTACGTACTGTCAGCAATATATCACGACGATCGACCCAGCATGTTTCTTTTTTCAATATCAGCAGTGATCAGACGTGCGGATTTATATGTACACAGATGCACATGTAGTTGTCTTTATTTAATAACTGCACATTTTGTTTTAAAGAAATTGTACATAAAAAATTACTTGAAGTATTTTAAAATTTATAAATATGTTTTATATACATGAACATGTAATTATAAGAATAGAAACGCTCTATGGTATTTCTAAGAACGGTAACTCTACTTCTTGTTTCCTAAAAGATGGGAAATTCAATTCATCGCCAAATTCGTTATACCGCCATGATTTCTAAATTACAAAAGGTGGCGGTTTATCGAGAATTAACTGTACTACAAAAAGACAGGGTGTAAGATGGTAGATAGCAACCCACATTAGATACTTTTTTGTTCAGAGGTGTCTAGGGTCTGGTTGAGCCTGCTCTCAAGATTTTAATCACTGGGTATCGAATTCATTTGTTAATTGCTGCTCAAACCTTGTTGAGTGTTGCTATGCTTGATTCTTTTCAAGATGGATGAATCCTGAATGTCTCAAATCCTAAAGAAATTTCTAGCGTGTTTTATCGTTTGTGGAATAATTGGATGTCTGCAGACTGTTGTTTCTTTAAAACATTAAAGAAATGTAATTTTGACGTCAAATTTTTTATTGCATTTTGATATTGGTGGTCATAAATTTTCTTTGTATTGTGTGAGAGGACACAAATTCACACAATGCTTTTACGTTCATAAAATTCAGAAAATAAAAAGCTTAATTTAACAAAGTGTGTATTGAAAAATGAAAAATTGTTACATTTTGTAAGTTTATTGCCTCTGCACATTAAAAGCTTGCAGGTGTGATCAAAGAATATAGAATACCCTTACAAAGTTGCAAATTTTATCAAAGGTTTATATCAAAATGTGGTGAAATGAAACTAGATTGTAGATTTATGACATTTCATAATGTATGTGTGTGGCAAGAGCAAAATTGGACCATCTCCCATTTGGTCAATGAGACGGCAGAAATTAATCAGGGGACTGTGACAAGGAATTGTTCTGAGCTGTTACTTGTTTGTGATGGTATCTTGGAGTTTGATGTCTTGATAGAAGTTCTGATCAAATCAATTTAAACCAGGACCCCCATTGTATCAAGTCATGACCTTCACCTAATATCTGAAAAAATTCAATCACCCATATTGTTAGGATTGGATCAAGTTTAATTTACAACTGGGGTAAATTTTTATGAGGGTTAAAGATTGATAAACAAGAGCACAAAGTTGCTTTTCTGTAAGTTTCTTCATTTAGCTGTACAGAGTTTCATACTTAGACCTTCTTAAAGACAAGCACTTTATAGTTTTCAGCTGCTCCCAGCAAGATTGTATTATAATATACTGATGGAACATATCCTTACAGATAAGGTTTACAATATAGAAATTCCTTCCTTGCATAAGTACTGCACCAATTAGAAAGTCCGTTTCCAGATTATCAGGACCGTGTCTGATATTCAGACGTGACTTTGGGCATTTATTGAGGAGAATTATACCCCCTTATCAATGTCTCAATATACTCTAATTACAAACAAAAAGTCCTGTAATCTGTGTTTACATGGAGATAAAACTTTACACGACCTGTCCCAAGCTGTTAATCCAAGATCAAAAGTTCTCACGACTGAAGCGTATGGCTACGCTGCTGCAACGCATCTTTTACGCTACCCCTCTACAGCAAGTATCTGAAGCATGGGCGAGGGAATTATGCAGATCTTCTTCAAAGTCAATTTGCTCAAGGTTTAGTTTGTATATATTTAGTGTTGACTCTGTGAAGAGTCTTGTCTCATGTTCCCGTTTGATCTAGCTGTGTCTTGGTTTCTGAATGGGGTGTAGAGTTCGTACCCCAATAGAAATATGCTCAATGTATGTACTATACTTAATTTATAAACATAGTGCTTGTATGTATAGTGGTCTTTTGATTTCTTTTGCACCTGTGGAATAGGTAAAAGGTTCTATTTTGGGATCATTAAAAGTTAATGATCATTGAATGGAAAAGGTTCAACAATTTTTTTTTTATAGGCTTGTTTGAATTGCTCTTCTTCACAACTTAGTGTTGAGGAATCTATGTAACGTTATAGCTGTAGAAATAACAGTAAAATATGTAATGATATGCTTCGTGTTAAAATACAAAAAAGCAGCATCAATCTTAAAGTGTGATCATGTCATTGAAATAATGTTTACATTGTAACAAGTTTGTTGAACATTCAAATTGTAAAATGTTTGATGATATTCGGTGTAAATTTTAGTGTCCACTCGAGTGTGTTTACCAAACAAGGGGGGAAAGCTAGGAGGAATAATAGGGTGGTATTATACCAAAGCCTTGACGTTGTGACTTTAGTGAAAGGAAGCTAGAGGATTTTATGATAAACAAAATTAACCCTCAGCAATCAAGCCATAAATTTAGTAATCCTTAGGTACGTTATATACTATACCACACACTACTATACTTGGTAGGGGTTACTCCTTAGTACTTTTGTCTGTTTTGGTCCATGTATAATAATTTTGGAATTTTTGCAATATGTTCTTTGATATGCATATGGCTGTTGAATGGCATCTCCATTGGAATTCAGTTCATGAGGAGGAAGATTTTGAGGTAATATTTTTTTTTTTTGAGTGCTGAGGTTCGGAGAGAAAAAAATCGTCCAATGAATTTCCACATGCCATCATCTGAAATGTATCTACCAATGGACACATAGCAATTATAGAACTTTAGAAGGAAGTATTGTTAATTATATAATTAGGCTTAATTTCATCTGAGTTGTTTTAATTAATCATTTAATTAGTAAGATGAAGTTAATAATATACTTGTTGTGTAGAGTGCTTTGAATCATTGACAGTTTTCTTTCTTTAAAACTGGGTTACCGTAAATTAAAATGCAATTGTTTTTGTTTAATTCTTATGCAAATTAAAACACTGCAGCATGCGCTTCATTTTGTATGTAATGGATTACATAGTATGTAGAAAATAGCAATTCTGACATTGATTCATATAGGTGTGTTTCAAATCTGGTAAAGGTTAAATATTTAATCACTGCCTCTATTACAATTCATAGATGGAATTTTTGAGATTGTTTTGTGTATCGGGGTATTTTAATGTATTAGATTAATGGATTGGATTAGAGATTTGTACAGTTGAATCTGAGGACAAACGCAGTGGAGAACTTAGATTTAATGTGGTAAAAGTCATATTGTTAATTGAAATGGAACAATACAGCCTCAGATACCCTGAAGCCAGAATGTATAGCGAACAAAGTCTGCTGCTAATTTAATCCTTTCTCTCATTTGACTCGCGACTTGTCAAGTAGAAAAGTGTTTTTTTGGTTTTAACTTGCGGGTTCGGTACTCTTGTAAGAATGGAATTAATTAACAATAAAAATCTTAATAAGGTTATCTCTCCTTTATTTACTTGCCACAAAATTAAATGGCTGAACTTTCGGTGGTTTTTTAAATGAACAGGAATTAAAGGAGATGTATATAATGTGAAGTAGCAATTAACGTTAAAAATTTCAGCCAAATAGATCCTATAATATTTAAAATAAGCACATAAAATGACTGAGTCATGAAATTTCATGTGAATTAAAAACTTTTTTTCCCACATGAATATTGTTCACTTTATCTATAATGAAACTTCATCCATGGCTCTGTGTATATATGACAAACTTAAAAACCACAGGAATTTGACACAGATACATGGTATGACAGTGGCAACAATTGCGGCACTATTGGACCAATCCTGCTAGATACCACAGCGACCATCATTTCTATACCTGCCTGATATACTTGACCTACTTCAGATCAGAATACCTGTCAAAATCAGGTGTACTGAAGTCTACCTGCTCATTATAGACTGTGTAAAGTTTGTAAATCTCTAATAAGATATTCATGCCAATAGGTCACGATTTTCAATCCCAATGAGATTTTTGTTGTTGAACTTTATGAATGAAGTCATTTGATTTTTGTGTGGTTCATGTACTAAGGGTTAAAGAAATTTCGAAATAAGGAGTAATGATGGTTAGACAAATTTTTATCTTATTGTCATAAATGCATGCACACCTTTATTTTCCATTTAAAGAAATTTTGAAATATTAGGAAGGGAAAATACTCAGATATTTTTTAGCTCATTGTCATGATATTCATTCATGGTTTTATTATACTCAAAGCCCCCTGTGTACAATATTTAGTGTTTCCAGTAATGTCTTTGACTGATTTAGATATTGAGTAATGGAAACAAGCTTTGTAAATATAAGCTTAAGAGGTATGAATGATCTTAAACGTTCAAGATATGGAGGGTACATTGTGATCGATTAAAAAGTTCAATACAAATCCAATTATTGAACAGACGTGGGAGGTTTTAAGTTTTCTATGCATTTTCTAACCGAAATTCAATTTCCAGGCCTATGTTTGACACAGTAGTTTAATTCACCTCGAACGAATTATGTCATTTCAATTTTAATTCACAAATTTAGTTATGAAGTCATATTAAATATCTTGCTTAGACTATTCAGGGTAGAATATTTTGTCCCAAACAAAACTTGACGCTCCTTACAGCAAATAGCTCTTTCCTACAGAATGACCTAGCTGGTATCTTTTATAAATCTCTGTGGAAATGTTATTATGTGAAAGTGGCAAAAAGTAATCTAAGGCAGAGGATCATATTTATTCCTGTGAAAATTAACCCAATTATGTACGCCAAATATACATTTTCATCTGAAATTTCATTCCATGGAAAGGAAATTTGAGTGGTGTTTATTGAGCTATTTGAGGACATTGTAATTTTGCTACTGAAAGCATTATTTACGTTGATTTATTTGTTTATAGGTTCAGAGAATCCCGGATTATGAGAAATACCTGAGTGACCTCCTAGAAGATACGGATCCTCAACATCCTGACTATGAGGATCTCAGCAAGGCGGCCAACAGGGCCAAAACAGTAAGTGTCTATAGAAGAGGGCCAAAACGATTAATGTCTAAAGGGGGCTGAAATTACTGGGCCAAAACAGTGTCTATAGAGAAAGGCCAAAACAGTGTCTAAAGGGGGGCAGGTTACAGGGCCAAATCAGTAAGTGTCTATAGAAGACGGCAAAAACAGGTTCTAAAGGGGGCATATTACAGGGCCAAAACAGCAAGTGTCTAAATGGGAGGGCCAAAACAGTTAGTGTCTAAAGGGGGGGGGGGCAGGTTACAGGGCCAAAACAGTGTCTACAAGAGAGCGACCAGGGATTTTCCACTGCCCCGTGTAGGGCCAAATATGGGCCCCATTCCCAATTGCATAATCACTCTATTTTTCCCAAAAATGAACAGCCTGTGTTTAATTTTTGAAAAAAAATCGTGCAAAACAAACATGGTCAGGTTTGAACTCTGAATGAAATGAACATAATTTTTGGAGACTTGGCTCAAACTTTATAATAATGGATCTATTTTCTGAAGTAAAGTTCTGAATAATGAAGTAAACAATCAATTTTAACTATCATAAGTGTTTATTTATTGAAATACATCTTGCTATAAAATTTCCCAAAAAGTTGTAAAATGTCGTAAAATTCCCAATGGTAAGGGTCTGGGCCCCATTTCCAAAATGGGTTGGAAAATCCCTGGGGACAAAACTGTCTAAAGGGGGCAAGTTACAGGGCCAAAACAGTAAGTGTCTACAGGGCAGGGCCAAAACAGTGTCTAAAGGGGGGGAGGGTAGGTTACAGGGACGAAATTGAAATACATCTTGCTATAAAATTTCCCAAAAAGTTGTAAAATGTCGTAAAATTCCCAATGGTAAGGGTCTGGGCCCCATTCCCAAAATGGGTTGGAAAATCCCTGGGGACAAAACTGTCTAAAGGGGGCAAGTTACAGGGCCAAAACATGAAGTGTCTACAGGGCAGGGCCAAAACAGTGTCTAAAGGGGGGGGGGTTACAGGGACGAAACAGTAAGTGTCTACAAGAGAGGGGCAGAACTGTCTAAAGGGGGGCAGATTACAGGGCCAAAACAGTAAGCGTCTACAGGGGAGGACCAAAACAGTTAGTGTTTAAAAGGGGCTGAAATTACAGGGCCAAAGTAAGTGCAAGGGAGGGCCAAACAAACAGGAACAATATTTTGAACACTCAGTTGTATTTTTAAATGTCTAGAGTCTTGATCCGATTACAGTAGACATTTATCCATTATTTTTGCTATCATTATCCCCTAGTGCTTTCATTTACATAATTATCACTAAATAAAATTTTAATATCCTGCAGTCTAAGGTCTACAAAGACATTCCTTTAATTAAGACTACACAGGAGGCCGTAATGTTCTATTGTTTATCCATTTCCTGTAACGTCACACTCACTGGTGGCAGCACTTCATTTGTTTGTAATATCCTCTATTGCTATACTCCGATTATTAAAATAAAACGTTCATCAAATATGTATAGTCTGTGGTTCATCAGCAACAACAACGATGACATTTATATATCGGAACACAAGTTTATTGTCTTATTGTCCACGCTGAGTAGGTAAATAAATATTCCTCATTCGATGTTATGATGCAAATGACAATCTCCAAGTGTGATAAACAGAGGTTCATAAGATGCTTATAGCAGAATGTATTAAATTTTGTTTACAAAATAAAATTTAAAAAAGAAACAAGCTCTTATTGTAAGCAGATAACGAAGACAATACATTATTTTGGTTGTCAATTTTAAGATTTTAAATATTTCAGTCGGTTTTAAGTTGTCCTTGTTATGACATGTGTATGAGGAGCAGATGAATTATGCCCTGTTATGGACAGGTTTATTTTAGGTTTAATAGGTTCACTTCTGAATTTGAGAACAATATGTCTGTTTTTTTATGTCTAATATTTGTTTACACAGTTCTCTTTTTAACTCAAGATATTTATATATGGGATGCAAAATTCATGCAAATAAGAATTTGCCTCAAGTATGCTGTTTTTATTTTGCTAATATTTTTTTCGAAATAGATTTATACATGCACACTTGTCAACTATAGGTACATATTCATATATCAACAACTTGCTGTCAATGTACAGTGCCCATAGCTCTCTCCAATATTTTGTTTTAAGCATGTTCGAATATTAAAATTAATTGATGTTTTGTCAATTTAGAAAGCTTAAGGTGGATCTGTAAGGAGTCATCATGGAGCTCTAATGTCGAAGACGTATATTTTGATTGTACGCAAGCAATCTGACTTAAATTTCTAATACTGCATTAATATTGAAAGATACTTGGTAAAAAGATTTACAAAGCCAACAATTTTAAAAGCAAATTTACATGAAATGTTTATCCAAATGAAACGTGTAACTGAATGCTCTTAACAATAAATGCCAACAGCAATATGTGTATAGCCTTTCTCAAGATCTGGAAGAGATAGGAAATAGACCAAAAATCTATGCGTCAACATCTCCCTGAAAAGCAAGATGAATTCAACGCCCTTGGCGTAACTTTAGAGTCTTTTGTGGCCAATTTTGGGGGGTTACAATGAAAAGGTACATATCAGTAAACATTGGGTTCAGGGGGCAAGGCTCTTGGCAGAAATTAGATTCTCTGGACAGGTATTCTTTGACTGGAAGTCGGAGTATTTTCAGGCTTCCGTATAAAAACATTATGGTAATAAGAAGTTTCAAAGGTCACGGAAGTTGAGCACAAGGTGTTAAGAATTGCATAGTTCTAGTCTAGTTGAATATCTTGTGCATTTTAAATAAGAGAGTTACTTATCAGAGCTTGAAATAAATATTGAAAATAAAAGAGGCACATTTTGATATGTTAACTTTCCTGTAATTGAGTATAGTCTTTAAAAAGTAGGCAATTTACATGAATTCAACATTTTCAGAACAAATCAGTACCAAATCTTATAATTATCAGTACATCTGCAATTCAAAAGGCATATAAAAGACAAATTGTCAAAGAAGGTTTATTTTTCTTTAGGGTAACTTAGTTCGTTTGAGATTACATTGATCAAATGAGATATATTTGTATTGCATGCTAAATATGTTTCTTTGTAGTATATAAATAAAATGCTTATAGTAAACACAAGGATGAGCCCTGATTATCTGTTAAGTTTACAAAGAATATCCTCAAAATGTGAATTACAGAGTAGGTTGTAAATCGTGACTAAAGATTTAAACTTTAAAAAACTATCAAGTTCAACAAATAGATTTTTTAATTATCTGTAATTCAAATGAAAAAAGTTACAATCTTTTAAAGAAATATCAATTGAGATTGAATGATTTTTTTTCTTTCTTGGTGTGTGAAAATTATACACAGGGATTGATCCATTTAAAGAATTTTGAAATCTATAAAATCTAAACCTTGATCAACTTTATATTTTGAAAAAAAGGTCATATAGACAAATATATTTTTAGTTTATTTTTGAAAATGAGTTTTAATTATTACTTTAGGAAATCTTTGTATATAGGTAGAAACAAAGGGAGACAGTGTATGACATTGTGTATTTTTGTTTTGACAAGGAAGGCCTGTCATCACCCGAACATAACAAGAGAAATACTGTATCAAAACAAGGACTGATAAATTTCAGGAATTTGTAATGTGAACACAAGCCTGACAGCATATTGGTCAAATGACATCATGACTCTTAACGACTGATGTCAATTCTGCGTTATCTCGTTAAATTATACATAAGTATGTCCATAACACCAGTCCTACACCTGTCAATCAAATACACATTTTCAGACACAATTTTTCATAACACCATGTATCGCATACATACAAAGTTTGGTCATCATTGGTCGCATTGTTAGAGTTGTTTTCTTTGGCTTTGTGTTATTTTCATGAGGAATGTTACAAGGAAATAGTGAAGTCCAGTGATAAGTTTCTTATTGTGTTGTAAATATATTGTTATGATTCTGGATGCAAAGATCTTTGATACTACATGGGTAAGATGTTTTTTTTCTCCATAAACCAAACAAAAAAAAGTCAATTTTTTAAATAAAATTTCATAAAATAATTGAAATATAATGATGGGCATGACCAAAATTTTTTTTAAAATTATTTTAAAAATCTGCTGATCAAAATTTTGGTAAAAGAAATGCTTTTTCTGGTGGCTTTGCTAATGTGCTAAGAACCAAACTTTCCTGAACTGTCTGCTTCCTATAGATACCCTACACCCTTCCTCTGTGTAATTTAATAAGACCACTGAATAAAAGCAGGAGATTTAGTGTTTTTAAGGTATTTGGAGCAAGTGATAATTGTGTGCTTTTGATAAAAACGGCTCTCTTTGACGTCACGAGAGATTAATGTCAAACCAGAATCTGGAGCTTCAAAGTCCATAAAAAGTTCACTCTGTCTCTTTGTATTGGGTTACTTTGTTTACTGTGGGGTGATTATAAAGCAGTATTTTTATAATTTTTTTCTAAAAATAAAATGAGTTTTTTGACCTAGTATTTCTGTATCATTTTACTCTGTATTTGGGAAGAGGAAGGCCTTGTTATAGCAGCTGGATATATAAGATTGTAAGGCAGGGCATTTAGGCAGAAAAATCTTTTTTGAAAACTATTTCTTCTGAAGTTAGAAAAATGCGCTTGAGACTAGTACTGCTTATTGTACATTTAGTACCAAACCTAATGTTACTGATATATCCTTCATGTGTTTCTATTGGTTCGTTTTTAATTTTGGACTGTTTTGCAGATGGTAAGGGAACATGAGGATGAACTGGGAACTAACAACGACCAAATTAAAATGGATCGAATTCAACAGCGTTTCCCTAACGATGACCTTCAACTCAGGGACAATACACCACCTGTAAGTACTGAATTGTCTTATTGGCCGGGTCACTAAGTAGACCTTTGACCTACTGAATTAGGACTTTTAAAGGACATGTGTGCATGTTTCACAAATTTGACCTGTTAGAAAAAGACATCATAATAAAATTTTTCAAACCTTTGATGAAATAGGTTAATAATTTCATAAGATTTTTTTTTGAAAGGTGCACAAATAGTTTGAAATGCATTAAGTCAAAATTTATCTTTTTGATGCATGGGGCCAAGAAAAATAAACTAAAATGGGTTAATAGGTAATTGACTTTGAACTCATTTCAATTTGTATGTTTTATTCCAGATATAAATGTTCAAGATATCAATTGAATGTCAACTGTACCCATGCATACTTATCAATGCAGTCTGATGCATCTTAATCATTTTCTTTCCTTAAGATTGCTATCAAGATGCTTTAATTTATTGCCACATACATTTCTGATCACAGAGTAGATTAATCGAATCAGTGTATTGAATAGATGATTGATTTAAGTAGCAGGATTTAAATGTGCAATTAAAAAGGAATAACAAATAGAGTTATTTCAATTGATAAACATTATGAAATTGGAACTTTCAAGGTCTTTTTGCAAGCATTATGTATTTTTGAGGGGACAAGGTATTTATACACCCATTTTAAGATGGGACGTTTTTTTTTTGATGGCATTGAAAAGAAGTCTAAGGGATAGTGTTTCAAGTCCTTTCATACTGAAGCTCACTTTACATTGTTCAAATACTTCCCTTGCAGAGATACATTTGTATATACTGTCAATTTTTTATCATTCCTTTATCAAGATTTTTTTTTCTTTGGAAAGATGGGCTGGTAGCCTTTAGAAATCATAAATGGGTAGGAAAGATTTTAAACTTTGCCTATTTTTTCTCTATTGAATGTTTCTGGGTTAAATTTCCACCTCTATCCTGTTTTCTTTGTGCTTAGTAGAATTTTAGTAATTTTTGATTTGAAAAGAGTTTCCAGAGCAACAGATGAGGAATAAGTTTATTCTGTATTGGTCAAAGATTTAAGGTGTCTCGTTCCGAGGCATAGAATTCAGCGCAGGAAATTCACAAGGAAATATTCCCTAAAGTTCATTGTAAGCTTTTGTGTATTCTTAATGTTGTTATTGTTTGATTATGAAACAGCCCTGTGAAATGAGAAAAATGAAAATCTCTTGTCCAAACATTTTGATTTTCCAAATGAGTGAGGCTTGAATTGCGAGAGTTCTTTATTTTCTTAAAAGACTTTGATGTGTGATAGATTTACTTAATTGACTTGAGTAGAAGTATGGACTTATTATTTCACCACTAGGACCCAACAAACTTTTTTTTGGAGAACAGTTCCATTTTTTTTTGATAACGTACAACAGATCATAGAGGCTTTTGACACAGGGAGTTGACGTCTCCCACATTCCGCTTGACTCCTCAGTGCACGACAATTTGGATTAGATTAAATACCCCAAGCATAAAGCCACGATCCATGTTGAATGTTCCATTCAAAAAGGCATAATTAAACCCCGATATTAAGAGGTTATATCCTCACAACAGGTGAATCTGTAGGGCTCTTTGTAAAAGACAATCTCCGGTATGACCATTCCATGAGGTTCTTGGCGAAGGGACAAAAAAAGTCAGCGATAAGTTGGACGCTTTATATACTGCCTAAGCCTGTAGATCATCTATTGTGCTTTTGATTGAAGTGACAATTTTCTTTTTTGGAAGGAGTGAATTACTGTGTTAATTTACGTCTAAAGGAATTTTTTCACTTTAAAAGAAAACGACTCCTCGGTGATAAATGCAAATTTTTTATCTCCCCGTGTGCTAAATCCCGAAATCGAAATCGCTGTTCAGTGTTCAATAGTTATTTGACGACAGTAAGCTGTATGCTAGCACCATCTGCCTAGTGATTTGTAAATACAGAGATGGGTAACATAGTCAGAATGAAGAATTTCCTTATTATTGAAATGATGTGTATTGCAAAGCATTTATCCAGAGGGAGTATTTATTAAGATAGGGAGAAGGTAAGAATTTAAAACAGACAATTCATTCTCAAAGTATCAAAAATTTTAAATTATTGAATCAGTGTTATTGTATAGCTGATTAGCATTTTTTTGGAGGGGGTAGTAAATAAGTAATGAACATGCATGTTCCGTATTTGTCAAGTATGCTACCCTCAGAACTTGATCCAAGCTTGGAGAATTTTTATCTTTGTCTATGTAATATATTTCCTTTTTACATAAATTTAACTTTGTCGTCTTTCTTACCAATATTAATGCATTTACATGGACTAAACATATGTAAGTATTTGTGCTATAATTTTGACTAGAAGTCTTTAGACCCAATTTAGAAATACATACTACATGGAGATAAGCTCTTCATTGGCACCACATTTAAGTTTTGAGCTTAAAGAGTCGGGATTGTATTCAGCCTTCAATAGATCCTATTCATTTTTAAAAAAATTCCTGCCATCTTAAAACTTGGAAAGCTGCAAGACTCCAATCATAAGAAAATTTAACTTGTACTGAATGATGTAAAATTATTGCAGAAAATAGGTAAATGTAATTGAAAATGGTATTTGCAACTTGACTAAGGTTCTAAGAAGGTTTTCATTTTCAGTACAGAAAAAGAACTATGCTTTATCCCTTTTAGGCCACAAAGGGCTAAAATTCCACGGAAATATTTAGTTATCTAATTTCTTTTCTCCTTTGTTTTCTTTTGGAATCTTCCCATATATCCATCCATGAATACATTCCAAACACCACCCACCGACCAAGACAATAGATATGATATACTCATACTATGGCTTTGTATCCACATTCTGTCCCTACAGAGATACACTGTCACAATTTATTCTTTAGGAAAGCAAGGAATCTCTCAGCCGTAGCCTTTTAATTTTATCCCGCTTTTGTTCCATAGAGAGATGGAGGAAAATTCTATTGTTTCCCGGTAGATATGACCTCTGAAAGAATTTTTTCATTGGTGTCCCTAATCTGACTTTGAGAGAAAATGTTGTCACACTTAGGTGGTCATAAATAATGAGAGAGATGTACATATTTTATGCCTTCATGATTTGGCGGCTAATTTTGAAGGTCATTCCACCAAGAAAATTTTTCTTTTATGATTTGCACTTTTTTATGCATTTTGCCAAACAATGACCATATTAAAATCCCTCGGTATGAAAAAGAGAAAATCAGCTTATATCTGGTGATACATCATTATGTGGTGAAAATAATTCAGAGAAAGGAATTTTTGCCTTAAAAATTGTATAGCCAGAAGACAAAATGATAAAAAAAAAAATTTTACATGTGGAGGTGAGAATTTAAGACGATGACACTGAAATTTCATCGCTGGAGAAGACGCTTTAGAACGCTGGTAGGTGTACGAGGGATTTGTCGGATGTCTGTTTTAGGTAATTTGGGGATTGTCCATATCGGATTCTGCCGGACAACTCAGATATTTTAGGCGGAATGTCACAAGCGTGTCTTAAATGAACTGAATGCAGGGGGAAAAAATACTTTGATTGATTATCATATTTTTGTGTAGATCTGTTAGAAAGAGAAATGTGGTGACCTAGATGGTTGATCGTTTGTTCACACCTGTCATATTCATTATGGATTTTTGGAGATATGACGTGTATTTTTTGGTAGTTTGGGATTATATGTGAAACATTTTTGATATCCATGAGATTTTAAGATTGCTACAGGTTTGTTGATGGGATTTCGTATGACAATAGACAAGAGAAATATTTGAAGGTTTTTATGATGTCATGTGTATATTTGATTGTTTTGAAGTCTTATCTATTGTTTATCTAGTAGTTTGCTTACTGTATGTTAAAGATGAGTGTAAGTTTAGGTGTATTCTTATAAAAGTTTGTTCTGAACTCTGTGTTACCTGTTATGCTGTATATATTATACATGTATATTTCTCAGGTAAAATGTTTCATAGATGTTGATCGATTGTTATGCATGATTTTCTTCAATTATTGGAAAGACTATTATGACATATACTGGAACTATTCACAGAAATAATATATCTGTTGGGTAACACTTGAGGAAAAAATTCTGAACAGCCATTCATACATGCAATTTAAAGACAAGAACTGGCTCTAAGAGGGAAACATAAGACTCTTTTTTTCCTAAGTAAGACAATTTTTAAAATGTTGGCACTTATTTTCCAAGACTTGTTCATTCAAGATTGACTCTGTTTTATTCCAGACTTCCCGCAGCCTGTCAGCAAGAAGAAAGTCAGCTCCTGGTGCAGTTCTGTTCAAATCACTGGGAAAGAACCGAAGTTCCTCAAACCTATGGTAAGTCTGTCTGTGTAAAAGACCGGGGGGGGGGGGGGGGGGGCTGTTAAATGTTAGCCAAATACAGGCTTAATTGTCTAGATGGGTCAAGGATTCAAACAGTCAAGAGGAAATGACAAACAAAAAATTAGCTTTAAGCTCTTATTGTCTGTCTGCATGAGAGAAAGTTTTAATTGAATTTTCTTTGTATTGTGTATTGGCCTGCATGGTAAAAGTTGAAATACTTTAAAAGTTTTTGTGTTTTTTATTGATCTGGCAAACATAACATATGTTGGAAAGCAATAGAAATATCCAAGGTCCTTTTGTTAAAATGTATCCATAGGCAGTTCTATTATTGTAATAGAAAGTAGGATATATGGATGTGTATGCATATAGGTAAGCAGTATCGTGAATGATGATTTTTTTAATTTTAATTTTTTTTTCAAAAAATAATCCCAGGGGGATAAAAACTAATTATCTGGACAGGAGGTAGATGCTTGCATATTAGACAAATATTTGTTATTCATCTTTTTCCCAGTTATTGCACTGTTTGTCCTTGTACAAGCTTTGATGGTGGGGCCGTTTCTTACAATTTGTCGTATAGAATTAAATATTGAAAATGATTGCCATCTAGACCTTTGACGAGATAAGAGGTTTTTTCTGCACCACCACAAAGTAAACGTTTCTTAGACCTTGGCCGAGATGATTTAATGCAGATAACTCTTCAATATATGAAATATTAGGCAGGATATAAAAAGCGTACGCAAGGTTAAATACACAAGAATTGATAACGATATATTTTATAAATATTCCCAAATTTAATCCTTTGTCAACATAACTCACATAGCGAACTTTCGGTATTCCGTTGTAACCGTCAATAAAAAGCTTAACCTAAATCTAGCTCTGACCTGCTTCAGGTACAACCAGATAATATTAAGTTTAACTTTATAATTATACAAAATATGTGAACCTAGACTCAATGAGTATAGGGATATTTTTCTCATAAACTAATGATAACACACAGTAAAATGGACTTATAAATGATAAATTGAATTTTTCATCCACTGTAGTTTTAGAATGTGCCATGAACTTATTCAATATGGGAAATCATAGATATAATAAAATAAAAATTGCATGTCCATCCCTGGCTCTTCACTATAATTATGGTTTTACTCAAATTTACTGTATATGGGACACGAGTCCTTATGATATTATTCCATGTAATCTCATGGGATTTATATAAATGACTTTTTAATGTAAAATGTCTGCCTTACACAAGATGTAGCATTTTTCATAAATCGTGAGGTTTACTTCTCACCTGAAGCAGATGTATACGGACCTTCTGAACTTTTACCTGCATTTTTGGATGTGAAGACACGACTTGACAAGTTAGAATACACTAGGGTTGTGTATCTGTAAATGTCATATGACACTGTGAAAACATTCATTACAACATTTATGCACATACATGCAATCAAATGTCTAGTTGACTGCTACAAGACACAAGAACATGTGTTTTTTAAGACACTGTGGGCTGCCCCCAGTATTAATGACCAGTGCGTTTGGTTAGTGCTGAATTAGTCTGAATCGATTGTCTCGATGGTCTTGGAGGCCTTGGTCAGTAGTTGGTTTGTGTAGAACGTTGTTTAGTGATGCGTGGCATTGTTTAGTGATGCGTGACGGTGAGGGAGACAGACCCCTGACAACTACATGATAAATGTCTCAGACCAACTCATCAGAATGACCGTGTAAAAAAGCTATTTCTGGTGGCCCAAGGTTCAGAGGGTTGATCGAGAAGAAAATATATATGTATTTTGTGGCTGTGGACTGAATATCATTGAATTTGGATTATACATTATGTAGTTTTTAGCTATATGGATTAGAAAGTGAGCTGAATTTGGGGAGTAATGCTTAGAATGGAGCAAGAATTCATTGACGGAAATGAAACATGATTGACTTGTGCTTTACTTCATGGAAGATATTTTTTAGTGAAGGAAACTTTTTGTGGTCCGAAAAATCGTTGAATTTTTATATATATTCTTTTGTTGGATTGAAACCTTTGAAATTGAGTCTTTAAGAAATTCCAAGTTTATTTGAATGGAGAAATGCTTTGTGAAAGTTCATGATTCTGTGCTTTGAAGTTTTGTGTGCGGATTATGTCCTAAATAAATAAGTAAATCAACATTCCAATGGACTTGACAATGTATACCCTGATCAAGAAAAAAGTCTCAAGCATCTGGTAGGCATATGTTGAAATGAAATTAAATAAAAAGAAAGATTTCATCAATAGCTTCCTTGATCAATGATCACCGCAAAAATATGTTGAGAAGGTTTATTGTAAGAAAAAGAGGACTTTTACATAGTTTGTAAGATCAATATGGGTTAGCATGTGGGTATACATAAATGTTCTGTATATAAACAACATTGTAAGAAAAGTACGATACGTTCTACAAACCTTTTGCCCTATTGATATGACACATGCATCAAATTAGATATTATTGTTAGAGTTAAACAACGGACAGACAGATTAAAGAAGTTTATTAATTGATTTATAAAGGATTAGGATAATATGCAGGTTAAGATAAGAATGAGCAATTATTGTCCATTGTGCCAATAAGGGGTCTATCAAATGCAGGTTGAATAGACTGCTATATCCCACACACATTTAAATAATACTAAACTTCTTATAAAGGTATTTCTTATGGACCGTGGCATTGAATTATGTATCAAATAAGGATATCAAATGGGTGTATTGGGAGTATAATTAAATAGAAAAGGTAGGAAGTATATCGAAGAATTATTTTTTTAATTTTTAAATTTTAAACAATTTGATGATAATGATATTGAAATGATGTTACATTTCACTTTAGAAAGAGAATTAAGCTAGAACTCTCTGTGATCGAAAAATTGTATCTTGGTCATTGGCATGCACATAAACTTGTAATGTGGTACAAAGAAACTGTCAAGAGTTTTTATGACCTCCAAAGACACTGACATCAATGCAGTTATTGTACAGGGTTTGACACTATGGGACTGACTATAAGTAGTATGTCATGGTGTTCTATTTATAGAGGGACATAAAGAGTTGCCAATGTACATAGCGATAATAACCTGATTATCAGTCAAAATTGTAGCTTTGCCATTCAGAGTGCAGGCATACCCGGGAGATGGGCAAAATAATGTATATCAATAAATATATGGCCTGAAAATTATAAGGCAATATAAAAAGGGAGAGTAGGGCTTTAAATATCATGGTGAATTTTTCGGTTGAAAGGTCACGAGCTTTAATATTCGTAGATATGATTAATATCAGGTCCGTTTTTAATGCTTTACGTCATGATGAAAAGTTCACAAGTTTATAGCAATCTTCGGAAGACGTTGACTCTACAAAATAGCGGTAAACAGTAAAAGGACGCTTTTGTGCTGGCGGAAAGTAAAATTTGAAATTCCGTTTTTGTCAGTATTTTATATTTTGGGGTCATTAACTTAACCTTTTTTACCAATTGTATAAGTGTTTGTATTTTCCAATAATAATGTGACCTCTCTCTGAATAAATCAAGCCGCACGCAATGTTTCCTATGTGCTTATCAAGTAAATAGTTTTCTATTGGTAGATGAAGGAAAATAAATTCTATATTAATGATATGTTTAAATCATATTTGTGTTAATTTACTAATATTATAAACATTCATTAAGCTTTAAGTTGAGGTGTTTCCTATATATTAATAATTCATTAAATACTCCTACAAGAAGTACATATATATACATGTATAATGTTCTCCAAATTCCGTTTTTGAATGCTTTAAAAAAGACTCGTGCAGAAAAAAAATGAAAAGCTGAAATATCTGATGTAAAAAACTAAAAGGCCTTCAATTACACATTCCTCTATCAGCATAAAGCAAAGGCTGTTCTACATGCAGGAATACTCCAATACTAGAAAACCTCTCTATATTTTAAGTGAATTGTGTTTACTTGGGGAAGATTTGTCAAATTTTCACTAACCACCCCCACTTTCGAGGGTCAACATGTCAGGTTTACACAAGAATTCTAACCAAACATCAAAGGAAGTCAATCTTTAAAGTTAGAAGTCTTTATTAGTCAGTTGAAGAGGCAGAGCTTGCACCCCATTTCAAGTCAACCTTAATTTACTATCGTACATAGAATAGGAGTTAATATGAGGTCATACAATTGTCTAACAATCCCATTACAGATCAAATACCTATGTTCTGGAAAAGACGCATATTCTTGATGCAATTTTAAATGTCTTACATGAATATGAATTATGTCATTCTAGTACAAATCATGACCGCATGTGGCAAAGAAGCAGCCAAAATAGATGACAAACCCTGTCCATACAAATTGTTTGACAAATATTTTATTGGTATAGCATTTTTGTAACATGGTCCCATTCTAACAAGAGTGTGTTAATGACAGCATGTAAACAATTCAAAAGTTCGCTTCATAACCATTGTTGCTATAGCCCATTATTTCTGTTACTTTCATGTAAATATAGTACAAAGTTTTTAACATTTCAGAAAAGAAAAAAAATATTTTTATGACCTTATTCAAATTTTATAAAATTCTTTCATATATACAGCACAGCTCCATGAAGGGAAATTTATAACTTTTAAGTTTTTCTTAAATTGACAAAGATTTAAAGTGTTTGTGTTTGTTTTCTAGGTCAAATAGTTCCATGGGTAAGAAGGAAATGGACCTGGTGAATCCACTGAGACATGGAGGAAATTCTCAAAGACAGTTTATTTTGGAGGGCCATGTGGAATTTGCACAGGTAAGGAAAAAACAGAATATTTTGTCAGTAACCAGGAATACATTATTTTTTTTTTTGGATAAGACACATTGGTATTTATAGAAAATATTGTATATCTGCAAACAAGTGCAACAAAAAAATTGTTTTTGTAACTATAAAAAATTGCATGCTTTGCAATCTAACACTAGGTTAACATATTCTTTTGATCTTTCATAAAAGTTTATCGACTTTTCTAATGGCTTTGAAATACTGAACCATCTATAGCTGGAAGCTTTATATTTAGTTAAGGGGGAAAAAAGAAAGTATTTAGGTTAAAACATCTCTCTAGAGATCTAGTGCTGTGAAGAAGAATATACAGGGTGGTATGTACATATTAGCCCTGTAGGTCTAGAATTCGGTTAGTGTCAGGTATCGACATGGGTCGCAGTAAAACAGGATGTACATATCACAGGGTGACTGTGACCTCATAGTTAAAGGCTACTTAATAGTCCTGAGTTCCAGAAAGAAATTAAAGGGAAGAAATATCTGACATATATTATATATGCGGTGTTCTAGGTCACATTAGTGGCTGAACTAACTGCCTTTGGTCCAGAATAAAGCCTTGCTAATGGTTTCTAAGATCATTATATTTCATACTTATACAATCGAAATCAATTTGAATGGTCCATTTGATTTGTGGGTATGGAGGGAATATTGGTCACATCATAACAATTACTGTAGATTCTCGGGATGATTTATATGATAACACGGTGACTGCTGCGGTCCGTACATCTGTGACAATATGGAGGCAGGTGCTTGTTTTGGATTTGGCTTCTGCTCTATATTTTCTATATGAATGCTCTTAAATGAAACAGAAAATTTGGGATGTCCTTGTGGATTACTCTCCTGCTGTGCTAGAAAACCATTGCCCATAAAAATCGGTCACCTTTATCGATTTAATCGCATATGGTAAAAAAATACTACCTGTCATAATGAGTCTCTTTTAGCCTGCAAAAAATTATAAATTGAAAGAAGACTTCATGCTTAACGATGTCTGTATTTTAAAAGAAATATAGTTTAAATAGAATCTATTCACAGAAAGGTGCATTGGTTCATTAAAAAGTGCTTAAAAAGAAGAAAATTGCTCCACTGAGGAGACATGATTGCTCTTTTAGAAGGCTGCGGCATTGCCAAGCGACGAGATACTCTGACTGGTAGATGTTGGCGATAAGTTTTTGTCATGAATTAGCAAAACCTAACATTTTATGAATGAATATAGGTGTCTGTCGTATATCAATTTTGGACACAAGATAATATGGAGTCAACAAGCTGGAATAATTAGATGAATTAAGGACTGTAGAGATTACAGCAAGGATAAAATATATTTTACAATATTCACAGCTATGAAATGCTAACACACAGTTTGAAGTAATGTGGATAAAAATTTTTAGGCCTCATGCATTTCTAAAAAAATTTTTATTAAAACCTGCATGCATGTTCTGCATATATATTGAAAATTAATCAGAAGAATTTTGATGCATATTATGAATTAAATTGCATTCCATCAACAATGTTTAAAAAAAAAGATTTTAAATAAAAACAATGTATTATTTTGATAGAGGAACTGAAGAGAATTTTTGTGGTTTTGCAAGATTTAAATGCTATCATATTCGACTGTTGTTTTTTTACATACAAAGCGAAGTTCCTTTTTACGCTCTGTTAGATCGGGAGAAAATCTACATTAATACTGTTGTTATTAATCCAGGCTCCCTCCCATAATAGGCTTTATTTTTTATGCAGATGGGAAATTTTTTAAACAAAAAACAAAATACCATCTTAATATGATAAATGACAGACAATAGCCATCATGTGTTAATGACACCAAACACTAGAATTGTCTATTGTTTTCATACATAGCAACTAGCATTTATTATAACATTTACTTTCATTTTTGTCTACTTAGCACTTAATGAGTTTAGTTATTTATTTTCATTGTTGAACAGTTTACATCAACATCAGCAAATAATGACTTTTACAGCTCTACTGCTTCTGTAAAGATATTTTTTGACTATATAAGTATATTCTCTGAATTATGGAGATAAATTCACACATATTGATGTCAGAATTTTTTTTCAGGGCATGCAGACACAAGACAGATATTTGTTTCTCTTCAACGATTTGTTATTGGTGGCCAAACAAAAGTAAGGAAAGAGTTCTGAATAAGGACATTAAATGATAATAATTATCTTAAAAAGTTCTAAGTTTGCTTTGATAACGTAAAGCTATGTACATGACTCCTAACTTTGTTCTATACAGATCCAGCACAACGTTCAAACTGAAGCACAGGATAAGAGTTTGTGAGATGTGGTTAGCGACGTGTATCTATGATGTTTCAGAGGCAACCTTACCGCCAGATAAATCCTTTGTCCTTGGTTGGCCGGTCACTAATGTGGTGGCGACCTTCAAATCTGTGGAGCTCAAGGAACTCTGGCTCAACAAACTCAATGAGTAAGGAACATGGAATTACCTTGACTTGTAATATGTGACCTTGACCTTCTGAAACAAAATTTAGGACTACAAAGAACCTTGTAATAATAGAGGAAAGTTTTTGTGGTCTCTAAATGCTATTGACTTTAGGAGTTAAGTTGAATATCTTTGTTTTAATTAAGTTCACTGTGGACAAATGATAAATGGATTTAATTTTTATATACACATGCTGTTATACACATGTTTATGTAGACTTCCCTAGAATATAGTACAGCTGTTCTCATTTTCTATGAAGTAATATCCATATAATGGGAAAGTGTACTTATAGACTAAATGATGTACTCCCTTTGTACCTGATATGCAATTAATTTGATTTATTTTTGTGAAGAAACTTTAGCAAAATGCATTTGGGTTCTCCAGTTGTCCTTGCAATTAGCAGGTTGTTTAGGAACATATTTTTTCAGTGAGCTATTGTTTACAAACATTAGGCGACAGAAATTTAATTTTTAGTTTTACGGATTTTTTTTCAAAAAAATTGGGTAGGAGGAGGGAAAAAAAAAAAAAAAAAAAAAAAAGAGCGAAAGAGACTGCAAGTTTTTTATCATTCAATTAAGATGTGAACAAACCTTTATGTCTTTAACCATTCGAAAGTCTTTCAAAATCCCCAAATACTTGGTACTTTTTATCAAGCTGATTATTACAATTGTACTGACCAAATTATTTTCTGGAGACAAATTTGATAAAATATTTAGATTAAATCACTTTCAGTAAGTATCTCCATTTTTTAGTTAAAGTATTGCCTTTATCTAATCTCCTTGAAAGCCCTAGGGTATGAACAGAATAAATCAGAAAATGAACCAGTGTATGCAAGAAACTAGCTATTTTTGAAAACGGAAAGGATCATTTAAAAAAAAAAAGATTTTTAAAACAGCAGTAATCGTACAATGATAAAAAAAATGTCATCCATTCTAAGGACTAAAATTAACAATATGTTTTATTTCAATTACATGTAAAAATGGCAAGGTGATCAAGTAAGGCTTACTATTATTCACAAGTTCTGGATTAAATGTTTATCATGTTTATGCAGTAAACAAGCCTAACAACTTAAATAATTTGGTCTTCAAATCAAAATTCCAGCAAACTAATCTCAGAGAGAATAAAGAGATTAATTGAAGACTGTGCATAAAATTATGAAAGAAGCCTTACTACATACCTTTCTAAAATAATACTATAGACGAAACTCTCTTTACTTTTAATGAGGCCTAGTTGAAATGCAATGCCAACTGGCCAAAAACCTCATTGAGAGTGTGGGGCTCATATAAATTAGGACATTTGTGAATGCTGAAGATGCTTTTAATTTACAAATATCTTCAGAATAACACTGATAAACAAACCAAGCATGGCTTGTGTCTCCATGTTAGTTAATATTCTGTGTGAATAAGACGCTTTAAATTACATATTCAGTGCTGCCATTGTCAAACGTTTTGAAGATTTTATTTGATAAATATAATTTTAAAACCAAACTTTGGTGGATATGAAAATTCCGGATTTTTTTTTTTTTTTTAGAAATCGGAAAAAATCGGGTCGGCGGATCCGTAAAACGAAAATTATAATTTCTCTCGCCTTAGATATAACAGACAAATACTCATTACCACCATATTATTGGTTCCATATTATGACTGGGGATGGGTGTAAATGTAAACAAATAAAAACAGACTGAAGATTTCAAGGATGTCCCAAAAGAAATAAATTCCAAGAAATGTTTGAATATGATTTGAAGTTATTAAAATTCACAGTTAAAAATTTTGGAGATTTATTAAAATGTCAATCATTATTTCCATATTAATGATACATAATTAAGACTTAGAAGATTGAAGATGGAAAAAACATGTCTGATCTGCATGCATTATTTTTTCAGGACTATTGAATTGGAGAAAATGAAAGAAGCCAACAAAAAAGTTAAAGTGAAAGTACACAGTAGAGACCTTGATCAGGTAATATATATATACTTACCTGTAAGGAGTTAATTAGAGTTATAAGTACCTAGCTTATCACACCTGGAGTTTCAATCAGCCCACAAAAGGTGTTGTGGTTAATTATGGTCAATTATGCTTGATTAATTGACATCCTGGAATTCCAGGTTTACTCAGACCCTTGTTGAAATAACATGTTTAGGAATGTGTGTTTCAAACAGAAGGTTATAGAGTTTTTATTTAGGTATCAATGATATGGCTACTGTTCTTGTGCAGGTAAATGGAATCAAATTTGATAAGATATGGAAGACTCTTTTTTTAATATATAGAAAGCAGTATTTAATTTTCAATGATTATTGGCCTTTAGACATTTTTTTCTTTAAAACTTAATTTTTAAAATCTTTCTTTTCAGACATGCACACTCCAAATAGACAATCATACCACAGCCAAGGATCTATTGACGCAATGTGTCAGCAAATTCCACATCACTGTAAGTTAATTATTAATTACCTTTAGTTAGGGAATGAAATGTGATTCTGGGGGAAAAAAACAGTATTATTAGTATTACATGTAAAAGTATAAATATTGAGTGATGACATTGAAAGTAAACCAAAAATTCTGACTGGTGCAGCGTTGATGTATTGAATCATATGCCCTCTGTTGTTAGTTTTAATCTGCAATATACCAGTGTAACTACAAGATAACAAAACAGCTTTATTTGTAAATATTGCTTTTTGTTTACAACACAACACTATAAGGTTTATCTGTTACTGCAGGTGATGCATCAAAGTTTCTTTGATGTACTCTAATTTACGTGCTTAACAAATACACAGATTTATCACTTTTTACTAGTATACGTATATAAACTGGGGAATGATGTTAAGGGGTCCCTTGAAATACAATAATGATTGTAATGAAATTATCAGCAATTTGGCAACAAAAAATAGGATGTAAAAAAGAAAATTAGGAAGTGAAATGTTTATATAAATATTACAAAATATTGAACTTGAAAGGGTTTGTTTTTTGATAAATGGAAGCCAATGTCATTGTTGTCATCAAGTTATAAATATCTATTATTTTGAATTATATAATTAGCATATACTAAGAAATACAAAATGAAGTCAATACACAGTTATAGCCTTGCATTATCTGGATCAACTGATACAGGTGTGGGTTTGATGGTGTATATATGACACTGTCCTCTTATCACAGAACAGGGCTATACTGCCTTAAGTTTTGTTTTAGTGCATGACTTAATGACTTCTGAGGCCTGACAGTTAGTCCCTAAGATATACTGAGACTGAGAGTAAGGTTAAGGCTTCGCAGTCCATATAACTAGGGATGATGGTTCTTGTCAACATCCAGAAAATAAAAAAAAACACCGCAATATATTACCCCCACCTGTGTTCTTTCTGAGTAAACCGTTTATCATCTGAGGCTGTGACAGAACAAACACCGGGCCAGATCTTACCTGGACCGAGGAATGTTGGAGGGATTGTTTTTCTCTAATTACGAAGCATCTTGTTGACTAAAAAACACACAGTGTGTGAATCGTAGAGGGAAATTTTTATCGTATTATTTGTGACTTTTATCTCACTTCACATGATTCCTCAAGTGTTTTACACCCTGAATTGACAGGAAATATTTGCCTTTTTGGGGGGTATTATAAGGTTGTGATATGTCACAGAAGGAGTGATGTGTTTAAGCATGACTTGGACAGTTCATACATTAAAAAAAATTATGCCAGGGAAATATGCGTAGAAAACAAAAGTATGTCCTGAATACAGATCTCGAAAGAAGTAATGAGACTTCATGTTTCCAATGTTTTGTTTCTCAGGAATCAGAAGCCAGCGAATGCCAGCTATGGGTGAAAACAGGAAAAGAAGAGAGCCCCTACCCCCTTATTGGTAAGTACACAAATAAAATAAGTGTTTTAGAACTTCATTGCTTTGTGTCAAGCTCCATTTGCTGATTAGTAAGTATCTGACAGAAAATTTGATATATACTGGAGCCTATGCAGGTTTGAGTGTTATTGAGATGCATAGTAACATTTCCAATTTGAGGTATACCTAGCGTTGACCCTTTTTAACTACATGTAATGGATGAAAGGGTCAGGAAATATGTAAGTAAAATGAATTGACAGAAATAAGGATGTTCTAATTTAAAACTTTTATCATGAAACATGACTAGTATTATGAGAATTACAGAAAGTTAGTTGAATTGATGTAGGTATAAGAAGTGAAATAAACAAAAAACGAGGATTTTGATTTTGATTAATGCAATAGAATGCTACATGTACTTGTTCAGTGATATTTCAAATAATCAGGTTGTAGATATAGTAAGTGATAACACATCTAGCTAGCTGAGAGTTCCTCTGGTACATAGTGTCACAGTACCTCTGCAGCTCAGCCAATCGTACCATACATACCCCATGGTCAGCTGGGTGGCTATCTTTAAACACCTGTGCATTTCTTCATTAGGGTAAAAGTGCAGAGGAATGTACTTGTGATAGAATTTAAAAGTGGAAATTTTAAGAGAATTTTTAACCAGGTTATTCTTCTTTGTTACAAGCATGTGAATGATCTGGTGTCTGCGAACTTTTTTGTTAAGTAAATAAGATTGAATTTATATATAACATACATGACCTGCTGTTAAACTTTGAGGTGTCTGTATACGTATACCTATACACGTATTCCTGGGAAACTCTTGAGATGTTTAATTAAGGTATACATTTAAAAGGTGATTAGAAGCACTCAAAGGTAGAAAATGTAGAGCAAACCCTTTCAAAATATCAAATTAAAAAAACCAACTTTATTTCATTTATGATTAGTGCTAGTTTTTATTGCCTTCTATGTCCAGTGCAGTTTTTTGTCGTATAGCGTTAGAAAATGAACTGACAGTCCCATTCCAGCTCTTGTTACTTATTCATAGAGATTAGGTTATGAGGATATTTTTGATATATATAAATCTTATATTATACATGTATATATTCATTAATTTATCTACACCTATAATAACAATGGAAGACAGACAGTCCTTTATACTAACACATGATAAAATTACTACACAGTGAAGTCATACAACTGATGGGTGATATGGTATATAAAAAAAAAAAAGATAAAATGACCTGGTGTGTTTTACTTTTTTTTTTTGAAAGTTATACACTACAGAGAACTTCTTAGTAGTTCCTTGTTCATTTTTTCTGTCCAATAAGTACATAGCGGCAAGATTTTTCAGTCATTGGGATGCAATGTACTCTTAAGGTTTTAATTTACACTCTCTAGAACTTTGTACCTTTATAATGTATTAAAATAAGTCAAATAGATAAAAAGAGTAAAGGAGCACTGAATTTATTTGAAAAATGTATGAAACGAGACTGTTTGCACGAGACTGTTTGCACGTGTACTTCTAAACGTGAATCTAAAACGCGACCCGGTCAATATGGAGTTATATTTAAACTAGATCAGGATCTATAGACTGCACGTACGTTTCACTTTTTTAAATTGAAGTTTTAATTCTCTTTTTTACTTCTTACCAGCACAATAACCTCTTCACACGATTTCTAAACCTTATCATCACAGTTGGCGGCCTTTCTCATTGAGAGGTGTCACAAGACAGACTTTCTTGGGGGATGAATTTGACCCACGTTTGTGAACTGTGTTGGGTTTTTGGCATGTTTAAATTCTCATCACATAGAAAATTAAATCTTCTTAAGGGAGTTATCGGATCTGTGCTAAATTCTTGTCTCCTTAGAAAAAATAATAATCTAACAAAAGGGGGGGGGGGGTGGGGAATTGAAGCTTGAAAAGGGTATTTGGGATCAAAAATCTTGTATAAAATTAAATAAACTATATATAACTATATAAAACTAAATATTGTACATTGATTGATCTATATAATTTAATGCATATTCCTGTCTGTGTCTTTCAAGTACCATTGAGAGACCTAATTTTGTATTTATTACGTCCCTTTTTGAGCCAAAAGTCCTCTTTGCAGGAGGCTTTAGGTTTGAGTGTAATATATGCATGTATAAGAGAAACTTTTCATTCATGATCCCTATTTTTTATCATTTAATATTTTATATGGGTCTTTAAGTAAGTGTATGAAATTTTCTGTCTTTTGTGTGTGACACATTAGATGCATTTTAGGCATTTGATGAAGCATTTTATTGGCACCTTTATGTAGGGCAGATCATATTTTAAAGCATGGTTTCACTGGGTTACCACATAAACAAAATATTCTTTGAAAAGAAGGTGCTGAAGTTAAGTAAATGTTAAAATTAAAAAAATTGACAATAATTTCAAGGTCTGTAAAGAGTTTTACCCATGCATACATTGATCAAATTCATATGAAATATATTGTACAAAATTTGGTTCACAAACATGCTTTGAATTTTAATGACATAGTTTCTTTGGTGTAAAAACATAAAAGATAGTTATTTTACCCAGATTTGGGTGGTATTTGTATGTACAACCATGTGTCCTATGTCAAAATGTTTTTCCTTAAAATTCACAAACAGTATGTGACATTGAATACCATTTTCAAACTTCACATATTTGATTAGAGAGTATTTGACCTAGTGGCTGCATGAGAAGTGTTTTGGTCTCTGTTTAGCCCAAACTTTTCCACGCAGTAAATATAGAACAATATACCCACAATCACATTGGATAAAAGTTCAATCTTTATCTTTGTCAACAGTACTGGTCAATGTTTACAAAACTTCAACTGATAGGCAACACATGAAAAAATCGTGTATTTATAAATATAGAGATATATATCGTACATACAATCCAAGTGTCAATACACAATTACAACTGGACCATACATGTAGCCAGTTTTTAGCCCTGTGGCTGCGTTCTTTGATTATTATAATTCTGTAAAGATGACATTTGATTCAAATTTTGGTACATGTAACATATAAAAAACAAAGGTATGTACAGTCAAAATATTTTATTTCTTTAATTAAATTGTAGATTTTTTAAATAAGAAAAGTTATATTAAATTCATATTAAATCTATTAAACAAAAAGTGGACTAGAATGTTGAACAATTTATAATGAAAATTTCTCCGTTTTTGGCAAATTAATTTTTTTCAGAAAATAAGACCTAGCTGGCACCTCTAGGGATTAACCGAGTTATTTTTTTCTTTTTTGGTGTAAGCAGTTTAAATGCTCTAAATATGAACTACATCAGCAGGCAGGATTTTATAATGAAGATGTTTTTCTGACCGTATTTCACCTCTATCAATAGTCTGTTTATAATTTTGAAATTTATTTGTTAAAACATAAAACACAGTGAATCCAATATTAAAAACGACAATTTTGACACATTAAAGGATTTAACAGTTGTTATGAGCGTCGACATATACCACCTTGTGCCACGACTTGCGGAGTTCACAAAGGTGCTCTACGTCGTTTGTTTTAATTTGTTTCTTTTTTCACCCATTCATATTTTGTGAGGGGTATCTATTAAATGGGAGTGGGGTCTCATTTATATAATACCTGTATTGGTAATAAGTCACCCAAAACAGGTGTAAACAACCAAATTCACATGGTCGCATATTTGAAGGGGAAAAAAATCATTAGAATTGATCTCAAATTTCAGTTTTTAAAAAGAATAACTTCTTTTTATCAAGAAAACTTAGTATGCTAAACTTAGTATGCTTTTTTGAAGTTTTACGGGTGTGTTAATGAAATTTTTAAGTGGGTGCAAATTGAAATTTTCCTGATTATAGGACAGCATTTTATTACATCATACATGTTGTAGTGTAACCTTACCATTCAAGCATTTTTGTGAACATGATGACCCTACATGCTACAATCTACCTTTATTTGGCATGTTTCATTCATTTTGTCTCCTACAAAGAAAAATTTCTGGAGACTTTTAAGTTATTTCACAATTCAAGACTGTGTGGGTGGAATTAGAGTTGTCCTTGGGTTCTTTAAAGAATTTAAATTCCGGTCAGAGCTTTTGTTTATTTAAGCAGGTATGTTTCCCAATTAAAGAAATAACTTAAAATTCATTTTCTGAAATAAATTATTCAGAATAAACCAGTCCTTAAAATTCTTTGTATAATTAACTCAGGTTGAAGACTGTCTGGTTTTCCCCTACCAAAATTATTTTCTTTATTCCATTAAAGAATTGGTATGTATATATGTTACATAAGTAAACAAAAAGTTACAGTTGTTTTTATTTCCCCCCAAAATGTTTCAGTCCTCTGAGCTATTCAAGTCATGATTATATTATTAACTAGCCTGGGATAATCCATAGGAAAATTCATGGATCACTTACAACCTAGATAAGAGGTGTACAGGTAGTTGGACTTTGTTTGTCATGCAGAGCTTGAATGACAGGTAGAGTGTCTATAGCAAGACACGCCCCCCAATACAGGTAAACACAGGTATTCAGGTGTCACGCCTGAACGACCATCTAGTCACATCGATGTCAGAAGACCCTGTGTTGTCATTTTGTAATAACTTGTCTTCAGATACACAAGGAGCTGTTTTCAGTTTGTGCCAAGTTTATTAACCTACGATAATTTTTTATTGACCATGTGGATTAACAAGTTTATCTGTTTCTAAAGAAGACTCCACATTAAGTTGTGATTAAAAAAAAATATTTTGGAGGAAAATATTATGCTGTTTTTGATAAAAGGTTAGTGTGATCTGAATGTATAGGCGAGAAGTGTTTTGTAAAGTTTTTGCGGAACTACTTGACGACGGATTTCCTTATACGCACCACCTGACGAGTTTCAGCAGCTTCCAGTAAAGTGTTCTAATTGTTTGTATATAATTTTCTGTTTTAAGGACATGAATTGCCACACAGTATAAAGTTCAGCCAGTTACGAGATCTAGCGAAAACTGACGACCCCATGGTGTCATTGGATGGAATGGACCCCGAGGGGGAGGGGAAAACTCCCGAATTCATCCTCCAAAACAGGCTAAAGGGATCCAAAAAACATCTCAGCTTTGGTCAGTATTTTAACAGTACTAATTTTAATTCAAGTTTTCTGAAAAATATACTATCAACTCCTTCCCATTTGTTATATTTTTGGAAAGAAATTTTAAATTTATAGAGGAAAGTATTATATGAATTTTTATCAAAAATAATTTTTAAAAAATCTTCAATTTCATTCTTCCAAAGTTTTATTGGTCTACTTTTCCTTTGGTATAGCTTGACTTACTGAGCTAATTTTATTCAGATTCTTGAATGGGATATTTAAACTTTTCAGTTTTCTTGTGTATAAACTAAAAACTGGAGTCCTTATGGGGACCTGTACTTGCATGTGTTATAATCTTAGTACTAGGTATGGATTAAGCTCTATCATCAAACAAGTATATCTGCAGGGCATTAAATTTTATAAATAGCTACAAAAGATGTTTTAATTCCTTAATCTGGTATAATCATGTGAAAAACACCAACCAATGTTTAAAATTACACAATATTACTCTATTTCCTACTCAAATAACATTATGTTACCAAATCATATGACATAATTTTAAAGAGTAGCAGGGTACTTGTTTGTATTGAAATGTTTATTTAATAGTACATGTACTGAATATTTGAAAATGTTGACAGTATTTTTAACAATTCTGACAGCAGTTAGGGCCACTTGATGAATTTATGCTTGACAATTTTTCCTTCCTAGATTTAATATTAGCCTTGCAGTCATAAATTTCAAACTCTGCAGTCACTAAAATTATTCCATACCTGACGTATAATATACGCTGTGTAAAGATTTTTCGTCCTCTCATTAGCTATGTTCCAAGTTTATAATTAGGAGAAAATTCATTCCTCTAGGCATGCTCTACTGTGAATGATGAAGTTTAGGTTTTCTGGAAAAATATATAGTGACCTATGTGGTCCAAACAACACCTGTTGTCTTTACTTCATTAATTTCTGACGAATTTAATCTAAAGTAATAAATATATACGTCCCCTAGTAGATATACACAGATTTAGAGATTTTGCTTGACCAGATGGCATTTTAGGGATAGGTAACACTGTTACAATATGTTAATAAGCCACGCTTGATTTCTGAACCATGTAAGTAAATATTTTTTATGCTCCAGAAAACTTTCCATATTTTCTTAATGTGTGTATCTGGAAAGAATGATGAATGAATTATATTTGTATATGAGTATATAAGATTGATTGGCACAATAACTTTATTCTTATCTTTAAAATAGTCAAATCTGCTGGCACCTATCCCAATTTACGAAAATGACAATTTATGTTATAAAGACCGCAATGACTCTTGAGATTTTTTTTATTAAGGTTGTAGTTAACATTGTAACTGTTGGGGGTTTCGCGTTTTAACTAGCCGATCTCTGTCACAATCGTGGATATTTTTCCGCTGTTAGAGTTCAGCTTGGTAGGTGGCATCTACTAAATTTTTGGCACTTGGCCCAAGTGTTCAAAAAGAACATCCTCTTGTGGTCCGACCAAATTTTATTGTCTTAATGGAGATTTCTTACATTACTTAATTTGTAAAACGCGACTTTAGATCCTTCTTCTCTTTCTATTATTAGCAGATTTTGCTGTAATGAACTGTTACGAACAATACAATACATTTGGTTGTTGAAAATCAGAGGCATAAAAATGCAACCCTTACATTCTATTGTAATATGTCATTATGCAAATAGAGAAAACCAAGATTGATGAGTATTCTTGACTTCATCTCTTTTTCAAAACCATAATTTTCATTTCTCTATTGTTAAATTTTATTCTAATGGCCCTGTGAATGTTCATTAAGAGTGTCGATTATCCAGACAACACCTTCAGTTGCCAAGAGTTAGGAGACCTAGTGACACAAGTTTGATAATTCATTAGACAGAATGCAAAATTTATGATTTTTAAAATGACAAGTCAGCACGGAAATGATCTTGAGAAAGTTTATGACATATATATCCCAAAAGTTCTGGACGGTGCTGACCTACATGTATTTTATTTTTCCGCTCCTGTTTTGAATGTTAAAGTGGGCTCTTGAAATAGTTTGGCAGGGGACTAGAAAATTCCAGCTCCATGTTAGGAGGAGATCTACCCTGTTTAGTCCACTTATGTCCATACTTATCAAGATCTCTTGTTTATAACCACAAGTCATTCATAAAACCTGGCTGGACAGAAAAACAATTTAAAGAGCTTTTTTTCTCGGCCAATTCAAAAAAATTATCAAGTGGACAATAGATTCCTGCATGGCCGGACTTTAAAAAGAAATGGCTTAATCCTGGATTATATTACTTAATCTTTTTTCCTCTAAATGAAAGAATCTTGTTTTGAAGTCTGTGCTCTTCACTATGGAACTGTGTCAAGGAATTTGGGGATGAGTGAAATGTTTTTTACCATTTTGGACGCAGGAGTGGGAGTTTTAATTCTTTCAGAAGGGGTTGTTTTGAGATCCGATATCAAAACATGGTTTAAAAGTAAAAGCTGGTTAGAAAAATAAGTTAGTGTGTATCTGTACAAGGGACACATCACATGCCTTGGGCCTTTTCTCTAATGATCAAATAATACAAAGCGTTGCAACCATGGTGGCCGTACAGAGATCAATAAGACTGTATCCATGTATGTAAATGATGCTTCTGAATCCAAGACTGATTACTTCTTAGACAGGATGCATATATAGGTAGTGGACAACTTTGAAATATATTCATTTTCCTCTTTTTCTTTTCCAGATGAGAGCAATAAGGGGAATAAGTCCAAGACTAAAAAGTCTCCTTTCAACTTCTTCAAGAGAGGGAAGGATGACAAGAATAACAACACGACTCCACCCGGCAAACTGTTTGGACATCCGCTGCAGGATGTCATGCAAGATGGGCAACTGCCAAAAGCTGTTATGGTGAGAATCCAAATTTTTTTCTTGCTTTGCAAAATGATACTTCTTGTAGACAGACTCTCTACCCACCAAGAAGAAAAAGAAAATTGAGAATTTTCTTCAAGAAAAATAGATTTAAAGCAAATAAATTGAGGTCATTAATAAAGTAAAAAAAATCAATTTCAGGAATTGATGAGGCTGGTGATAATAAATGGCCCATACACCAAAGGGGTGTTCAGGAAGTCCTGCAATATCAAGCTGGCCAAAGAACTTCATCAGAAACTGGACGAGGGCCAAGAATGTCTTGATGAGGAGACACCAACTCTGGTCATTGGACACCTACTCAAAGTAAGTTTCCTTATTCCACAATAGATAAAAAGGGGAGGGTTAAAATTTAGTGAAAGACCAGGTGATTTATAGCTATTTGTTGTAGAGAATAATAGTTTTGTTTTTGTGTTCATTAGGAATACCTCAGGAGTTTACCACATTGTCTTCTATATGAGGAGTTCTTTGAGGAATGGATTAGTCTTACTGAAGAGGAAAACTCCCCCCAGAAGCTGGAAAAAGTCAGAAGGTAGGCAAAAGAAAAGATCTAAGACAATTTGTCAAGTTCTCTGATCAGCCATTAACCGAAATAAAGTCTTCTCAATCAAGTGATATGATAGCGTAATTATTACCCTACCACCACTGTAGGGCATGAAAATGTTTTAAGTGAAGGCCAGCACAATAGAGCTAAGTGTTTAACATGTGTTTTGTTAAGTGACATGAAAGGCTGTCCACAGGTCTTGTATGTAGAGAGACTTACAAGACACTGTAAAATGCATGTTCTCCCTGCCATAAAATGACATCTTCTTTTGATGACTCAGGCCCTATCTTGATCTGATCTCTCACATTTATTTCCCCCCTATTTTGGAGATCTGATCTATTCATATAGGTATGGATTGTCAATTTCATTGAAAGATTTTAAAAATGGCCCCCAGTTATTGTTTAAAGTTTGATAGTTTTACAGGTATATGCCCTAGAAGTCCTTGTGTGTGTAATTTGTAGTAGATATATCTATATATACATACGTAGGTGTATGTGACCATTCCCTATTATCAGGCCCTTTATTTATTTTATTGAAACATAATGGCGAATTCATTTAAGCATGTTAGAACCACAGGAATTTTAAAACCTGACCAAGTTTCCAGGCCTTTGGATGTACCGATTGACTCAAAGTTTATTCTTCTGTCATTTAGTGATGGCATTAACAAAACCACATCCATTTTAGGAAGGACTTAATGTCCGATCTTTAATTAGACCAGATGACCACAGCGCTTTGAAGTCTGGGGGCCTGATCTTCTTTGGTTTTCCGTACCCTGTAATTGACTCATCAATTGCCCGTTATAACAGTTTAGGGTGATGGGCAATTGATTCTTTGTGTAAATAGAGGATGATTGATTCGAAATCATATGACTCCTCGCTTCGCAACATTTATCACTACGATTGCCATCTTGACGTCTTTTATGTGTGAAATTATTCAAATATTTCAAAGATCTGGAAATGAGTCAGTTCCTCACATATATTTTAGGAAGAATAAAATCAAGCTTCCTCATTAAATTCAATATTAAAAATCAATTAAAAAAATATTTTAATTTCATATTTCAAATTGATTTATAAATCAATGAACTATTTAAATATGGTGCCATTCCTATAAATACGGCTAATTAACTGCACTTCCTCAGACATGAGAATAGCTTATTTTCTCATTTCTCTTTCACAGTCTTCTGAACAAGCTTCCTGAAGGTCACCGAGAGCTCCTGAAGCACTTACTGTGTGTCCTGTACCACATCGATAAGAACCACAAGGAGAACATGATGACCTCCTACAACCTCTCCGTGTGTATCGCTCCCAGCATCCTCTGGGCCAAACAAGGGGATGACCCCATGAGGGCCCTGGCCATGGCTAAATCCCCTCAGCAGATTGTGGAGTACCTCATCGTCAACTGTGTTGAACTTTTCGGAGAGGACGTGATTTATCTTTTTGGGGACTTACTGGAGCACAAGATTAGGCAGGACTCCAGCACAGACTCTGATAGCATGCACAGCGTGCTCAGCATGGCCGACTCAGCCAGTAAGTACATAAAACAGCAGCGTGCTACATTGAATGTCAATTCTAGAAAGGAATTTTTACAATTTTTTTTAATAAAACTAATACATTCCTTTGTTTTTTTAGGTGGTATCATGCGGCATGACGACTCATCTGTTGATAGTTTGGAGAGGATGTATTTTGACGATTCCAGTCCGAACCTCGCAAAGAGTCACATTTCTCCTTCTAGTCTTAGTCGCGATTCAGGACTGTACAGTTCACAGGAAAATCTGGACAATGCGGCTAAAAGTCGTGTGAACACCACCCTTGTCAAATCAAGGAGTGGCTGTCACCTGTACTTTGAGGATGAACATGTGACTTATCCTGCTGAGATAACTGGTCCTATGACGAGATTATCTCGAGAACGCGAGAACAGACTTCAGAGACAAAAATCTGTGGCTGAAAGCACCCCACCCACCTCACCCCAGTCAAAATTCTCCTACAGTTCATTAGACAGTTCTCTGACGGACTCCATGAGTTCATATCTGAACAGACAATACAGTAAAGACACAGACAATAGTGATCAGTGGTTCACAGCAGACGAGAGCTTCCGGGAGTCATTCGAATCCGCTCGCAGTTTTAAAGACGATTCTTCAATCAATTTCCAAAGATCAAACAGTCTGACCATGAACATGCCAAAATCTATACAGAATGTTCAGTACTTAGTGTCACCACCGGTTTCACCCCGGAGCAAGAGAAAGTCAACAAGTTTGGATTTACATTTGAACTTGTCCCAAACCAAATCATTTCCATTACCTCGTTCGTCATACTCGCAGGATAAACTTTCTGATTCTACTTCAACGCGTTATGGACAAAGTGCTATGGATTTGTCACATTCAAGTAGTCCTCTTAAACAGCTTTCTAAATACACTACCCCGGGGTTGGGAACATCCCCACCCCCACATGTTGTGCTACAGCAACATAAATCAGTGCAAAAACCAACAACAAACACACCAATGCGTGCCAGTTATGATAGTGCTATTATTTCTCAGTTTGAGAAAGACACCTTTAAAACAGAGGCCCATGTTACAAAGCATGTGCCCACACCAAAAAGTGATAGTGACAGTGATGTGACCTTGACAAACAATTCAGATAGTCCCGCTGTGTCAAGGCCAGAGAAACCACCTTCATACGACGAAGCCGTCAGGAGGAAAAACATGATCGAAAAAGGACTCCCTTTGGAAATTTCTGAACAGGACATTCAAATGGAAAAGGAGAGGCAAAAGCGAGCCAAGAATTTATACGAGGAATCGATTCGTAAAATGAATGCACAGGAATCTACACCTAGGAGGCTCTCATTGGATGAGTCGACAACGTCAGAAAGCGGAAGTGAAAGTACGGAGGAGGACGTGTATGTGTCTTTGTCTCAGAAAAATCCCAAGCAACTGTATGAGGAATCCATGAAATTGTTTGAGGAACAATCTCAGAGACCTACTCATTACGAGAACAAAAACATTTCAAATGTGAATGCCACCAATATTCAGAGAAGTTCTAGTGACTCTGCAGAGTATGTGAACAAAGTGAGCGTGGTCCCTCGCCACCGCGAGGCCTCCCCTAACTATCGAGTTCACTCGACACATAGAGACTCCTCCCCCTCAACCACAAGGCTGAGTCATTCCTCATCTAGTGTGTCAAATAGTTCATCAGAAACAGTGACTGACTCACGACAAAACTCACCAAATCAACGAGACCGTTCCGAGTCGAGCCCCGTTATACCCCGCCATCATTTTCCAAAGACAAATCCTTTAACATTTAAAGCCAACTATGGTTCATTAGATAGTGCTCAATCCTCATCTTCCCTTCATACAGAACAAAAAGTTAACAATCCTCCTGTTTTGAGAAGCAGTGCAAAAAGATCCCCACAGAAAGAACTTGGTGTAAAATCAATCCCTAAACCTGAATTAAGTGTTCATAATCCAAGCTCAAAAGGAAATACCCCAATTCGGGAAAAGCGTATGGTTAAATCACATGACTTTGTAGACAGTCCAAGAGCTAGTTCTCCAAGGACAGAATCCCAGGAGTCTCCAAGAAGGAACCTGACAGTGCTATCTAAATCACGAGACTCTACCGTCATCGCCAACCATAGAGATCTGTACGCAAGGTCCAGCACAGCTCAAAATCGTTTATCTGCCAGTATGGACAGTGAAAAATCACAGAGAAAACAAGATCTTCCCTGGAGTGTGAAATCATTGAAACAAATCTATGATGGAGCTAAACCAGGTAGTGACAATGTCAAGGACACTAGTGCTCGTCCCCCACCCCCTCCCTACCAACCTCCCCCACCTTTTCGACGACCGGACACCTCGAGATTGAGCATGTCCAGTCAGAGTAGTGTAGGGAGTGGGAGCACGGGGAGGAGCACCCCACCCACCAAAAGTTTACCATCCCACCGACGGCTGGGGGGCCCCCAGGCCTTCAGTTACCGCACTGAGGAGGATCCAGATATCTCATATGTGTAAAAATCACAAACTTGAATCAAAAATCATGTCACTTGTTTCACTGCCATGCAGTTCATATGTTTACAAATGATTGTCAAAATGAGGCAGCTTTTGTGTTGTGACAGGTGTCATGCAGGGAGATCCTTCAAGTGCTTTGCTATTAATATTAAATTTGTCAGAATTAAACTGTGATGCTTTAGGTCCGCAGTGTTTAAGAAAACTGGCTGTGGTTATATGAATTCAGGGAAATTCTGAGATAAGGCAATACTGTTATTAAGGTCATTTTTCTATATATTTTTTGTCATGTACTGATGATGATATTAAGTTTTCGACATAAAGAACTATTCATTTACTTAAATGAAATACTCTGAACAAGAAATTTGTAAATAGTTGTCACTTATACCAAATTACCTCAAAAATTTTAAGCTTGTTATAATCAATATCTTTGTTATTTCCTCTATGTCACTTGCTTATAATTATTATAAACATTGTTATACTTGCAATAACTCAACACTGATCAAGTGTTCAAAGGGGAATAATTTGTGAGAGAGTGGTGCGTGTGAGAAAATTTTGTAAATATAGTGAAATTGTACATAGTGTATATTCTTGCCTAAGATAAAGGGAAGAATGACAACGAATATTTATTTTTATTTTGTATAAAATTCTTCAGTTGAATGTACATTGTTTAAAAACCAAGTGCCAATAATCATTTTGTAAATATGTAAATATCTTGTAGAACACTGGTGCTTTAACTCTATGCAACATTCAAACAGCATTTATCAATCATTGTGTGGTGTTTACCTCCCTTTGTTGGTTGGAGTTGTCTTTCCCTATATAGGGTAACGTTTGTCACTTCCATACTTTTTTTTTTTTCGAAGAGAAAGTACAATCTAGCTGAAAAAAAACTTTTCTGTTTAGTCACTTACAATTGCAGCAATTCAAACAAGACAAAATTGCAGCAGAACAAATATTGATTTTAACAAATTTTCCATTTTTTATATTTTCCTAATTTTTATAAAGATGTCTGCAGAGTACCAGTAGTGAATGTCCTGTTGTCATAGCAACATGCAATATAAGTGTTTTATATGTACCTCATATTATGGGACGCTTCACTCAGTGCCCCATTTATTATTAATATGAACAATTAAAATATACTAAAAATTAATATCATTGTCTTTGTGTTTTATGGTCAAAGAGGTTGAGACTGAAATCGACATTCAAGGGGAAAAAGGAGAATTAAAAAAAAACAGGATGAGGAATTTTCTCAGTGTTAATTATGCAGAAGGAAAAGCAGAATATTTTTTTTTTTTCTATGTAAGTGTGTCCTTGCTATGAAATGAGATCTTCCTTATGAAACACTGATTAGTAATAGCTTCTTTGTTGGTCAGGAAGCTGTGCAGGAAATCACAACAAAACGTCCCTGTAAACAGTCTCAAGTAAAAAAAGTGGAGTACATTTATATGACTTGGTACTTAGAGATTTTTTCAAGGAAGATGTAGACAGGGGATTTTTTTTTATCTTGTAGAAAATAAATTTTATGTAGATCCCTTTCAACGTGCCTTCCATACGAGTTGAGTACTAGTGAAAAATCTGACATTGGGAAAATGAATGCAGAACTTTGTTTTGTGTTTGTTAAAAATAAATTTGTTAAAAAATAATTCCACTTAATTCAATCGTTGTCCTTGACAAAGAATTCATACTAAACGTAACCTGATACCTAATCACTACTGAAAGTACATGTACTCTCAAAATGATGACCAAGATTCTGGATACAAAAAAGAATTCATTTGACCGATGTAAAATCATTTCTGTAAAGGCCAACAGGATTAAGTAGATGATGACTTTTTTAAAAAATGACATTTCCTTCAAAAGTGCATGTTCAATTTATTTTGAAAAAAGTGCAATCCTTGTCTTTAAAAAAAAAGAGACAGCAAAATTACCAGTTGAAAGTTCAGTACTTGCATTGAAAAACAAGCTAGTAGATGAGCAATGGATAAGAAAGTGTTTAAAAATCAATTTTCGGTCATTGGAGCTGTCAAAAGGTTTAACATTTTCAATGAAATGAACTTAAGTACGAGAGTCTTGGCGAGGCTGTAGAGTACGTGACTTCATTAATTTGTCCAAAATTGATTTTGTAAGGCTACAAGACATTTTCGACTTCTAGTGTCTCACTTTTAGAGTGCAATGCATTTCATGATGACTACCAGCAGTTAGTACTAGTAACCCCAAATTTAAGCATCAAACTTTGCTAAAGAAGAATATATACAGTATCTACTGAAGGAAGGAGGGGGGTGGGTGGTCGAGTCAAAATATTTAAAGGAGAAAAAGAGCAATGTAATTTAACGTGATATTTTTTTAATATTCACTCTATCAAAAGCACGACTGTCATAATTTGCCTTTTTTGGGTCGGATTTTCGAAAACGGCGAACATTGATTTATCATCCATATTAAGAAACAGTTAATTATGATTAAAGAATAATTAATGTTAAGCTACAAATGTCAGAGAGCGTATATAAATCTTCATTGAACTGACCATAATTTATTGATAAAGCACAGGGGATTATCAAGGCCCGTCACCACAAAAACCACGTTTATAAATCTATAAATATTCCTTTGAATGGAAAAGGTATTTTAAGGTTTAGATAAATGGATATTTGAATATCATAAATGTCATAAACATAAAAAAAAACTTCATTTTTAAAAGCAAAGACCCGAGAAAAACACTTAAATTGTTTATTTTGTTTAAAAACAAAAACCAAATCTACGATTTAATTGAGGCCCCCCTGTATATCCTTGACGTCACTTTAAGAGGAAATGATTTCTATATAACCATTCCCATTCAAATCTTTAGGTAAATGTTATGAATCAAATTCAATAGGAAACATAAGTTCACCGTGGAAAAATTAATTTGCACTCCCAGTGACCAAGGGTTGCACCGACCAAACTCGGTTGGCACCTTGGCTTTTGAAGAACAAAATCAGGGAACTTGGCGGTTTTTCTGGTACTGCAATGACGTATAGGCGGCGCTGTTCCATGTAAAAATCAGTTTTCAACAGTTGTAGAAGTCCAACAGGCATGCTATGTATAAGTTTCTTGGAATAGTCCTTAGACATGACATTTAAGACCAATTTTA